AGTCACAGTATCTTCTCCATTCGGATTCTGCATTTGCAAGGAGGTGGCAGTGAAATTGTTCCCAAAATCAGTGAGTAAGTTCCGTGCTTTCTAGGATTTGTGGGTATTCTCTGGACTTTTTTTAAACTGTTACTGTGGATCTGGGAAGTATCTTAAGGAAGATCTTGTGGGAAGCACTTAAAAGGAGTGAATGTTTCCACTCTTCAGGCCTGGAACTGACAGTGGGGAGAGTTTCGTTGAGGAGTACAGCAAAATATGACTTGGGATTAAGCTCTTTAAAAGTAAACATGAGTAACTGCCCTTGCAGCAGGGCTGATTTAACTGAGGCTGCTGCCTGTTTTTCAGGCATGGTTATCTGGACATGAGTTGGCCCAGCGCCTGGGAAGTGGTCTTGAGGATCTTTGAATGTGACACCCAAGCTCATGTTGTTCTTATCTCGTTTAGTCCTTACACTTGGGCTGCTGCTAGACAGAAAGACCTGCCTAATTTATCCCAAAGGAGCTTTCTTTGTCTTCCTGAGGAAGCTGGGAGAGTGAGCAGGGCTTTCCCCTGCAATCGCTTTCTGATTGCAAGGTGTCTGAATTTAAACCTGGTGAGAACAGCACAAATACAGTGGGTCAGATGATAACATCTCCATTTTTTCAGGCTATCCCTGTGTGACCTTGCGGGATCCGAGCGCTGCAAAGACCAGAAAAGTGGGGATCGAATGAAGGAAGCAAACAACATCAATACTTCCCTCCATACATTGGGTCGCTGCATCACTGCCCTCCGTCAGAAGCAGCAATCCAAGTGAGTATCTGGAGCTTCAGAGGGGAGGCTGTGGGGAGGCTGTCTTTTCCCATGGACTTACTGTTGTCTCTCCCCACAGACTGAAGCAGATTGTGGTTCCCTTCCGGGACAGCAAGCTAACCCGTGTGTTCCAGGGTTTCTTCACTGGACGTGGGCGCTCTTGTATGATTGTTAACATTAATCAGTGCGCATCTACATATGATGAAACTCTGTATGTAGCCAAGTTCTCAGCCATTGCCAGCCAGGTAAGTAACACTTAATAGCACCCTGACATGCTCAGGATGCCTCCTCCTACGGGAATGGGTCCTTTCCTACCAGAGGGCAGGCACTCCTTCCCTGTGTTATGCAGTGGATTGTTAACTCCACGGTAATTTCAAACTCTACTGAAGTCAGAAGTTTGACAGCATACAGAGAAGTGCTGTGTTTAAAGGCTATGTAGCCTCCAGGCTTTGTGGACCAGTAATGATAGTTTTTTCCCCTTCAGCTTGTTCAGGCCCCTCCCACAAAGCTGGGACTTCCATCCATACAATCAATTATCAAAGAGCACAGCAGGCGAACCAGCCAGGGTTCAGAGGCTACAGAGAAGGAAGAAGTGAAAACAGAAGACAGTGAAGATGAAGTCGATGTCTCTGTTTATGAGAGAGAGGTGGGTTGTGATTTATTTTAAACTTCTATTGATAGAAAAGCAAGAAGATGACTAAATGTTAATCTGGAAGGTGACTCCTGGAACTCAGTGCAAAAGATGACAGAAAACCTCAAAGATGTGATCCTAGAACACTGTAAATTGAGAATCTATGGAAGATATTCCATCCACAGTCATTCCAAATCTGAAGCACATGGTTAAAAGCATCTGTCCATTTGTAGAACAAGGATAGTAAGAGCTCAGATGCAGATCTGTAATCTCTCTTCTATAGGGGAAATCTTGATCAGAGAATTAGTAAAACAGTTGGCTAAACTGATGAAAAATAATCAGACTTTCTGGATACTGGGCAGCTGGAATAACTGAAAGAGTGGGGTGGAAGAAATACAGAGATCTGAGTTGTAATGTATCAGTGTAGCAAATGCACGTGCAGCCTTGGTCAGTGCAGTATAGCAAGCTGCTTATGGAGATAGCTTCAGATAGAGTGGTGTTTAAACCATCTCATGGGGAGGGAATTGGGAACAAACCTACCAACTTGGTTGCAGTCACTTGGAAAAACATCCTAAACCTAGATTACCCCAGCTTTACAGATACAGGATCAGCTAGTTTGTTTTCTCTAGGTCTTAATTCTGCTATGCAGTGTGGGCAAGGGAGTTTGTGTCTTCCAGGACTTGTTGCGTGCAGTGGAAGCTGCGCGAGAACTGTTGGTGCAAGAGAGGCAGGAGAAGCTACAGCTAGAAATACGCCTCCGTACGGAGATCTGCAATGAGATGCTGGAGGGCATGCAGCAGAAGGAGCAGTGGTGGAGGTACAGCTGAGGCTGATCGATCTCCCTGTGTTCAGGGTGTGCTGTGGTGCCAAGGACTATCAGACCCAGATGCAGACAGTTGTTTGTTCTCATTGTAGCCAACACATTGATGCCCAGAAGGAACTGCTGGAGGAACTGTATGAAGATAAACTGAATAACCTGAAGGAGTCACTGACTGACTATTACCAGGAAGAAATCCAGGTTTGTTCAGAGGGATGGAATGACATCAGGAAGGTGGCAGGGACTTGGGAGTACTTAAGTCCAGGAAGATGATGTTACACAGACTGAAAATAAATATTTTGGGTGTTTTTTGTGCTGTGTTAATACATGATAACTTCATCCACAATTCTTGTTAATTCTCATTTCTTGACTATTCTGTAGTTAGTTGGACTTCCAGACTTTTTTCAACCCTTAATCTGGGAATTCATGTGTGATCATTTTTATTCCTTTATTAGTCCAACATAAACCTTTGTCCCTTTATTATTTTTGCTAGTGGCTTGTCTTGCAATCTTCAAATTAATGTTAGTGCTCTGAATTTTGCTTCTTACCTGTAGTTGTGAAGGATGCAGGCCTGTCTGTAGTTCTCATCATTTGAGAGTGGCCCTCTCTGAAGATGCAAATTAACATGTGTTGTAGAGAGGCTGGAAAAATAGTTTAGGTTCTCAAGAAGTGGTTTCATATCTTCAGTTGAAGTGCATTAAATGCTGTATCCAATGTGTGAAATGGATGATGGAGAGTGTCTTGTGGGGGAAAAAAGGCCCTGAAAATCTGAGGTAACAAAGGCTGTATTGAGAAAGCTGTTTAATTTTTGAATGAACTTGCTTCAAGGAGCGTGATGAGAAGATTGAAGAGCTCCAAGCTGCTCTGCAAGAGGCAAAACAAAAACTGGATGCTAAGCAAAGGGACTCAGAGCAAGGCTTGCGTCGATCAAAGCGAGTGGCTGCCTCGTGTGCTCTGCAGCAGGAGCTGACAGATACTAAGGCCAAACTGGAGCAGTGTCAAATGGAGTTGAATACAACATCATCAGGTAAGGCAGGCTTATCTCCTAGTTCAAAATCTAAAGTTCATGTGTTTAAACCGAAAGCCTGGAAGCCTGAGCTCTTCTCAGTTTGTGTGTCTCAAGAGCAGTCCAGACTTTAAGAAAAACCTAATGCTCTGTGAACGAGCTCCTGCTCACTCATTTCTGTCTGTTCTTAGAGTTGCGCAAGTACCAGAGATTACTGGAGCCACCTCCCTCTGCCAAACCCATTACTGTGGATGTAGACAAGAAACTGGAGGATGGACAGAAGGTAACTCTATCTCTGTTAGAAACTTGCATAGCAAAATGCTTGCCACTTAAAATGTACTTGGAGCTGCTATTTTCAAGTCTTTAAATGGTTGACAGCAATCTGAAAGCAAACCTTGAGCACAGATGTGGAGGATGCTGGTGTTACTGATCCCACTGTACCTCACTCAGATCTCCCTCAGTGCTGCATGTCTGGATTGTCTCAGCAGTCTTGTTTCTAGAACAGTGTTAATACAACAGCTTGCTTTAAATCTCTCCTGCAGAATGTGAGATTGCTGCGCTCAGAATTACAAAAACTTGGGGAATCTCTTCAGTCTGCAGAGAGGGCATGCTGCCACAGTACAGGTGCAGGGAAACTTCGAGAAGCCCTTTGTACGTGTGATGACATCCTGGCTAGACAGGTAATGTGTTGTCTTTTGTTGCAGTGTGGTATTTATGTACTTTGACATAAGCAGCAGATAGACCTAGATCCTTGTAGCTGCAACTATAAATGTCTTATTCTCTAGACATGTAAATACCTGTTACTTCAAGGGAGCTATACTGCTAAATCTTCTCAGTGTCTGAGTCATACTGCATACTGAACTCTTCAAAGGAGACCCAACTGTTTCTGTTCAGCCACCTGACAGCTTGCACTTAAAGCAGAATCCAGAGTTCTCACTCCTTTATCCACTGTGCTCCATCACAGTTGCTATGGCAGCATGCTTACAGCAGGATGGATTCTGTTTTTTCCTTTTGTTACTGAACTGCTATAGTGGTGACAGGAGCTTTTTCTGTATGGCCTTATTTAGCATGCTGGTTAGTGAAGTTCAGCAGCATCTTCAATTTATAATAACCAAGGAGTTGCATTATTGCATTTCTACACATACTGCTTTCCATTTTTCAGGACCAAACTCTAGCAGAACTGCAGAACAACATGATGCTGGTAAAACTGGATCTGCGGAAGAAAGCAGCTTGCATTGCTGAACAGTATCACACTGTACAGAAGCTCCAGGCTCCTCCCATGTCTACTCTAAAGAAACGGTTCTGTGCCAACAGGGAAAACCTACAACCTAACCAACCTCCTGGCAAAAAGCCCTTCCTGCACAACCTTCTGACACGTTCAGCTCCCCGTCCTGCTGCTACCAGGGGCTGGCAACTCCGCTCAGTTGCTCTATGACTTCTTGGAAAGGCATCCCTGCCTCCCCATTACTGGAACAGGTGGCACATCCAGTATCATAGCTTCTCTTCTTTGTGTGCTTGTTTATTATTGTAGCTGCTTGAGAGCTTATGTAAACATTTCTGCATATGTATGGTTAAAAGTTTTAATTGATACCAAAGTGAACAAAATGACCTTCTGTAATTTAAACACTACAGCAAGGAAAGATTTTTAAATATCAAACAGTGCAGATGAGCAGAGCGTGGTTTAACAGAAGGACCAGTTAAAATGAGTTCTCTTCAACTGTGTTGGCACATAAAAATAAGTTCACAAGATCTCCTTGTAAGATATTCTCCCTTCCTTGAATTATAATCCTTTATTAAAGTATACACGTTCTAGTTCAGGGCTGTTCTCCTGGATCTTTGCTTGTAAGTCTGGCTCCAAGCGTGTTACAGACATAGAACTGAGCAAAAGAAACAAGTAAAATGGTTATATACAACAAGCACTTGATTCTAAAATAAGACTGCATCTCTTTAAAATTCCTGGGTTTTGAAAGTTTATAAAGAAGAATTGAGAACTCCTCATAAAGGAATCATGCTCCACATCTAAGCAAAGGACTCCCCTATTTAAAAGGTGTTAGAGATGTTCCATACCTTACAGGAACAGCTGAGCTCCTACTATCATGAAGGTAGGAAGCAAAGGAGTTGCTTAAGGTTGTTCTGTCATTAGAGGCTTCTCTTCCTTAGGATGTTTTTCATAATCAGTGTCTTCTGCCTGTTCTACTGTCTGATTTTATTTTGTTAATGTTTATTTTTGAGTCATCACACACAAAAGTGAATTCAGCTGCCAGATCACATAAACAGCTGCAATTTTCTAAAGCAGTTTGAGATCTAATCTTTCTGTGAAGTTGAGAGCACCAGTTAGAATCGAGCTACTGTGGTAGAGGGGGGCTCTGAGTTTGGTGCTAGCTGGTTTGCTAGCTGTCTCTGGGTAGATTTCAGCACAATCCTTTTCTATGCCAGGCGTGAAAACAGCCAAAACTGCTTTGTGCTATTCAATTAAATCAGGTGAGAATTAGGTGTTTTGTTTTTTTGGAAGTCAAAAGCTACTTCAGTTGCTTCTTATTTTAACCAATTCAGCTCCAGCTTGCATCTTTTAAGCTACATTTGGCAGCTTGTCAACTTGTAATTCTGACAATCACTAAATAATGAGCGATAAGTGAGTTGAATGCATAAGACCCTGTTTCTACTACATACTGCAATTTGAGTTAACTTCAGTTGGAGGTAACTCAGCCAGATTTTATTCTTATCTCAGCTGTGAGGTTTTTTTTGACAGGTTTTCAGACTGAGGAGTTTGTACTGATGGGGAAAAAAATCCCTTAAGTTGCAACTAAGCACCCAGTCAAGTGCTGTTCTCTATAACCAGTTTCTAGCTAAAAATGAAGTGGGATCTGACCATACCTAATGAAGCCATAACCTCAGTGGACATTAACAAGGCATGGAGACTGCATTAATAACAACGTTACTCATCGCTACTTTTCTGAATATTCTCATGTTTATCATACTATATGAATATTGAGACTGTATGCTCTGGGAGGCAACGACAACTTGTGTCTCTTTGCAGTATCTTGCATGTGTTGAATGTCACATTAAAGAAAGAATAACGTAACAGGAATACGTACCTTTTTTGAGGAAACAGTGCACAACACAGAGGAGTTGCAAACACAAGGCTGGAGAAGACAAAAACAGGTTTACAATATTTAGGGTGCTAAAAAAAATTGAAATTTTACAGTGTAAGCACAAAGCTCTTTTGTTTTGGTAGGATAGTGAGATAAGGTTCAATGAAAAACAACTTCATTTCTCACTGCATTATACTGCTGAAATCCTTTGTGTATTAAATGCATAAGCAATACCCTTTCATCTGATGCCCCTGCAGTGTTCGTGCAATATGAGGTGCTAAACAGCAGCAACTGCAACCTTCCATTAACCAGATGTTTCAAGAACTCAAGTTCAGTATTCGTTTACTTAGTTTATTGGTTATGGAGGTAGCAGCTGAAGTATCTTTTTAAAAAATCAGGTTGCTTATGCATTTCCTGTTGCTTCCTTTCCTCTTCCTTACCCCCTGCTTTTTTTTTTTTTGTCCACTTCTTTAACTGTTTCCTTTTCTATGGTATTACCAGCTTTATCAGCCACAGATGTAGAAATGAAGTGCTGTAGTCTCAGTTTCTCTGAACAGTGGAGGAATGTCATTTCTGAAGCTTATCTGTATTGCTTCAACATGTTTGTTTTTTTTTTAACCTTTATACAAAATGCAAATGCTACTTTCCTCAAAAAACAGCCCCTGAAGTTATGCCCTCAAAATAGCAGACAATCCAAAGAAGGCACTCACCAGAATCCGACTAATCCAACTTGAATAGGAGCACTCATCCATGGAAATCTCTGTTTAAAGTAAAATACAACACTAAGTATGCTATCTTTTATTCCTCTTCCCACCTTGGAAACTTGCACTGGAAGGGACAACCTGCACCTAAAAGTCTGTTTTACACGATGAAAGGAAAACGATTACCAGCATACCTTAAGCTTGAGCTATGGCTTGAAAGCCTTATCCCAACCTCTTTCAACTAGCAAGAAAGCTCTCAGTGATATCAGCTTACACTTATTCTGAGCATCCCTTAGAAACTACAGTAGGTGACCAACTGTTTTACTTTTGAACTGATCCTGACCTGAACCTCTGTGAGTCACGTAAGCCCACAGTAGCAAGTCGAGAGTGGCACTGGTGGAACACGCTGGCAGACCTGAGGGCACAGGGAGTTTGGCTGTCGCTCTCTCCTCCATACCATCAACTGGCTTTAACTCACAACTGCCACTCTGCCTTGTGGGCAACAACCCATTGCACCTGCAGACCAAAAATGAGGGAATTATCAAGGAACTGGTTGCCCTTCCTCCTGTCTTATGATACATTACGATATGATGCGTGGGAATTTAACTGTTAAGCACCCAGCCTCGTACAGCCACGTTCTGCAAGTGTTCATCTCTTGTTAAGCAAAAAAAATAGAGGGACTAGGGGACAAAGCTGAGAAAGCACCCCATAATACAGACCTTTTTTTATAGCATACCCTCTGGTGTTTTAACTCTTGTACGTAAACCAAGAAAGGACACAGTTTTCTTGTAGGTCTGAATGGTTTAGGAAATCCCTCCCCTAGCCCAGGTTAGAATTCTAGTTGAAATTGCTAATGGAATAAAAGCGGATCTGTTCAAATACAGTTTCTACGTAGGGCTTTTTCTGTTTTGTTACTGTAAAATCATACTGTAAAATTAAATACTGTCTTTAATAAGAAGAACGTATACCACATTATATAATTATAAGAAGCTGATTTTTAAACAAATGAGCTAATGAGTAAGAATGTGTTAAGGTGGGTGACGTTCTCAACAAAGGAGATGTTCTCCTGCAAGAGGCATTATTCAAGATGTAGAAGTTACAGGAGAAACCAGTGAACAAAAGACAGGCAGTATCTGACAGGTGAGATAGAAGGATGAAATTTAGAAAGCTCAGTGTGATAAAGCTGGTGCTAAGTAAGGTCTAAGCAGTGGTAAGCAAGCGTGGGTATGAAGCTTTCTCCAGAGCCTGAGAGAAAGAGGAGATGATGTAGAACACACTGTTCCTCTTTTTTTCCTTCTTCCTGGTGTTAACCTGTAATCCAGAAATGAATGCAGAAAGAACTTCACAATTCAGCAATAAACTGCAACAATAGGTAGTAAAAGAAAAAGCAACAGTAAGAAGGGTAAAGACTGAATTCAGCTGTGCTCCATTGTTCTGACAATGCACTAAACACACCTTTGACTCTCACTTGAAATAAATTACTCAAAATACTTTAAATTTTATATAGTGGGAGAGTTCCAATGGCAAGAGACTCCAGGCTGACAGGGGAAGATTGAAGTCATCATCCTACATTTAGTTGGGAACACAAAAACTCAGGAAGGTAACTGGCTCCTTCATACAGGGAGAATTAAAGGAGAGGGATGCTGAGAACTGCACTGCAAGATGCGTGAAAGAAATGCCCCAAACACTTCTATAACCAAAGAGACTTTAAGGACGTCCTGATTTTGGTTTCAAGCTTTCATCTGAGCTGGTTATTATTCTGAAAAAAAAGTCAATGAACACAGACAGTACTGACATCTATTTCATTTGGTGGAACACATTTTGCCAAGGTGCCTGATCTGAATTAGAGCTTCTCTTTTTCAAGCACTTTTCCAGACGGCACTAATTGAGAACAATGGTAAGGTAAAAATAAGGTGAAACACTGAGACTAGAAGGTCAAAGGCTGCCCAGAGAACGATTTAAAATAATAAAGCCAGTCTCAAATGCAGGCTGCACATCCTTGTAAAGAGAAAACAGAGAAGTACAAGACAGCAAAAGAATTTATTCTGTTAGAAGATGTATTTAAACAGGGAAGAAGGCAATTTCAGATGAATTAGGATTTAAATTCCAGATGACTGCAAGGCATCTTTGGCAGTTAGTGCAAGGAGAAAGTAGAGAAACGATAGCAAACAAAATGGAGAAATGGAGCAAGCAAACAAAAGCCAAAAAGAAAAATCAGATTTTTTTTCTGCTGCTTCTACTGTGAGATCTCCAACTGTGTCAGCTCTCTCAGGGTAGCTATGACTGTTCTGAAGGAACATCACTACATGAAACAACAGCTAAAGAAGGAAAGCATGGAAGGAGCTATGGCGTAAGACATTCAAGAATGATATTTAAAAGAAAAAAAGGCTGTTCTAGTTTTCTAAGAGCTCTGAATATGTACTTTAGTTACAGACTAAGAGACTTGAACTTTCTGGAGTCAATATAGTATGCAGAACCAGAGAGAAACAGTCCCTGAAGACGTGAGAGTGGCAAAATAAATTAAAGCTTCAGTTTCCCTTGGGATTTTCAGACATTTTTATGAGATAAATGTTTTATTTCCCATGGGGAAAGGTTATCTGAGACTAAACAAATCTATAAACCCTGTCCCTTAGAGCAAGGTTGCTTATGGATCCTTTTGCTGCAGCAAATGTAGCAACGATTTGGTTCCACATGGAGCTAGTCAATATGTGCAGCATACAGCCAGCATACAGCCTCACCATCAAGAGTCACTGCATTGCTTAATTCCTCAAAATGCAGTTAAAGCAACTGCAGAAATCAAAGGCAAAAGGAGTGTGTATATAAAACCAAATTTTTAAGAGTTTTCTGGTCAAGAATTAGGATTTCTTTAACCAGCAAGTACGTGTTTGTATTTTAAAAACATTTTTGAATCATTTTCTAGCAATAATTTTTGGGAATACTGTAAGCTATATTAGTGCTATAACTGAAATATCCTCATGCAAAACCATGTTAGAAAACAGAAATGAATAATACTACAGACCCTACATCTTATTTTAAATACCAAAGGATGACCCACTGCCATCACTGAGACCAGCAGTATTCACCTCTATCTTACTGGAGAGCATTGCTATATGTTCCTCATCATTTAACAGCCTTTTGAATTTCCTAGCCCTGCATGTTGCTTTAATAGGCTTTGGCAAGCTTACAAGAAGTTTTTTCCAAGAGTGCTGATGATGTGCAAAGCAAAGACTAAGAAAAATGAGTTAGTAAAGCTTGTGTGGATGGTGCTGGAATACTGCAGATGGGATGGTGCTTCTGAAACCTCGAGAGAACGGGCAGAAGCTGCTTGTTAGAAATGCAGCTCATTCCTTAAAGGCTTTAATACTAATCTCTACCAAGTGTTACCACTGATGACCTGTAGAGCAGTGTTTCGCCTCTGCTCAGTCTTTGAGGCTGTGGGGGAGGAACAGGTGAGCATGAATGGTCATGATGGTACCAAAGACCACTGAACAGTCACTGAAGAAATCACTCATTTTTGCTGATCTGAAAAATTCACAACACTCTTATGTGACACCACACAAACAACAACAGATATTTGTCTTCAAACCCTGAGAATTTTCTCAACATCTTCACAAATGTCACATATTTCCAGCTGACTTTATGGCATTTGTGTTAATAATGTTCAAGTAATGCATTCTCAAGGACACAGCAGTATCACAAGCCACTTAAAGTTATTTTGCCAACAGAGAATGGGTCAACACCTATGGAGCCCAATCAGTACAGGGCTCCTTACACTGCAAACAAGTGTATTTGGATGCACTGCAGTTTCAGTGTGCCCAGGTGGCCAAGAAGGGCCAATGGCATCCTGGCTTGCATCAGAAACAGTGTTGCAAGCAGGAGCAGAGAGGTGATTGTTCCCCTATATTCAGCACTGGTGAGGCCGCACCTGGAGTACTGTGTCCAGTTTTGGGCCCCTCACTGCAAGAAAGATATTGAGGCCCTGGAACGTGTTCAAAGAAGGGCAACAAAGCTGGTGAGGGGTCTGGAACACAGGCCATATGAGGAGAGGCTGAAGGAGCTGGGAATGTTCAGCCTGGAGAAGAGGAGGCTCAGGGGAGACCTTATTGCTCTCTATAACTTCCTGAAGGGAGGTTGTAGTGAGCTGGGGGTCGGCCTCTTCTCTCGTGTCATCAGTGATAGGACCAGGGGGAATGGCTTCAAGCTACGGCAGGGGAGATTCAGGCTGGACATGAGGAAGTATTACTTTTCAGAAAGGGTGGTCAGGCACTGCAATGGACTGCCCAGGGAGGTGGTGGAATCACCGAGCCTGGGGGTGTTCAAGGAAAGACTGGATGTTGTGTTGAGGGACATGGTTTAGTAGGAGCTATTGGGAATAGGTGAATGGTTGGACTGGATGATCTTTTAGGTCTTTTCCAACCTTGGTGATTCTATGATTCTTATACATTTACAGCACCAGATTTGACTTCACACCACTTGAGCAGCAATGGAATTCAGTGAAAACATCATCTTTGATGGCACACGCACATCCCACATCTACCCCATGCTCACACACCCAGATTGTTTTAAAAGATCATTTGAAAAAGGCATTTTTATCATCACTATTATTTCCAAACTCAAACTGCCACCATGGCAGCAAAGCAAAGCTTCCTTCATAGATATTTGGGGGGGGGGGGGGGGGAAGAGAATTATACAAGCTTTTACTATTTTTCAGATAAGCTGTATTCCAAGTCTTGGTAAGAGGAAAGTGCCTTCACTAGAAAGAACTCTGCATTTTGTGCATAACCACCAGAATAACAAAATAAGTAATTTCTTCATGTCCATTAAGATTAAAAGAACTAAGATCCCTCTATCTGTGAAAGACAAAGAAAGCAGCACCTGTAAAGTGCTCTCTACAATGTTCTCCAGGAGTGCTCTGGAGGAGAATACCAAGACTTAAAGTATTTTAAATACATGAAAATATTAACTTAGCATGTGAAATACAGGTACACAGTTTATCTCAGACTAACCTTTAAAAAGGCTCTCTTTTCCAGTGTGTTCATTATGAAGGGAGGAATTGCTGCAAATGAGAAAAAAAGATAATGCATCAACCTCGGAGATAATGGCACATGGATTTAATCTTCTGTATAGATGAACTAACACTGGAATTCAGTTTTCATAGCTGTCTGTCATTAACTGAGGTTTCATTTCACGCTGCCATTAAGAGACACTAGATTGCTATTGACATAAGTAGACTCCTCCAGTAAGTGGAACTTCTAATTTCACAGGTAAAGGTAATTAACCTGAGCTCAGTGACTTGGCACAAACCTTCAGTAAACCAGTTCCACTCGAGCAGGATTTGCAACGATTCCTTTGCTATCTGCATGATTTCTACACTGTTCTGTTGCACATCAGTGTAACATGCTGTGGATGTTTTTCAGTAAGAGATGCAGACTTTAAATTCAACAAACGTAAAGACTATGTGCATAACTGTAAGATAATTGGGCCTCTAAGAAAATCACTTCCATAGAACTTCAGCTCTGTCACAGTAGGAACTTATAATCAGGAGCTGTATATGACTGAACTTATTCTTACCCATGCCAGGAGCAGCCATGAGGATCCTTGATATAACCACCTGAGTAATGGCCTGCTGAGCTGCTTTTGTTGATTCACCCAGTCTGTTTCCATTCTCATCTGTGATGGGGATTCCAAACTTGAGTTCCCTGTTGAATAAAAATAATACAGCAGAGACTGACATGCATTTATCTGCTTTTGCTGGTCATGTTTCTCCTCTTTAAAACTTTTGATTGGAAGAATTATGCTATTTTATTATTCACATTTGGAGCAAAGATTTCAAAAAGCAAAGAAAGATTTGGGGCAAAATATGCTAAAAGAGAACAACTGAATATTTGTCAAATCAGTCTGACCTCTGAGCCTGGCCTCATGTATTCTGAGACCTGTTGTTTCTGTAACACACAGAAGACAGAGGGTTCTTCAAGAAAAATCAGAATGAATAGAATTTCCTGGACTGCTCTTAAAGTAGTCTGTCCTTTCCCACTTACAACATAGGGAATAAAAGCAGATTAGTTTCATTGAACACAATTCTCTGGCATTCTAGCCTGGGTTTTCATTTTAACCACCAAGAACATATTTGGAAGTATACCAGAATGCACAAAGCAAACTACATTTCTGTATCTGCACAATTGTCTATCAAAGCTTTAACACAATTCTGCACTTGAGCAAAGCTCACATACAAGGGAAAAGCCTTTCAGAAAGCGAGAAGCAGACAGAAGGGCAAATATACTGATGACTGCCTTAGTTCTTCTTCCCATCATTTATAGGAAAAAAAAATACTACCATAGATTCAACTTCACCATGAACATAAATATGAAAATATTCCCTTTTTTGCTCATAACCTTGTGTTTCTAAGAGGATGTTTTTTCCCCCCCTCATTTCTATTCTTACTTCTTGCCAAATTAGAATACATATGAAACTTTGTTACCGAGAAAGTGCATGTTTTTGGTAGTCTCAGAAGATCAAATGGAACTCTGGCTATAACATACTCTAACTCCTGTATGTGGGATTTGAAGCACCACCTCTGAAATGATCATACTTTTCCAAAGCACAGTTCGTATCGAAAGGGCCCACGTGATCAAGTCTTAAAGGACAGGTACTTGACTGCTGAGATTTAAGGCTGAAGAACTAAATAATATTTATCTGAAGAGAATGAGAACGTTCTATTCACACATGTCACAGTCAAACAATTAAAACAAGACTATGCCCAAGGCTTTTGCAAGGTTCTGAAACAAGCTAAAGATAATATAATGTTCTTTTTTCAGCACCTTGCTGATCTAAGAACTCAATAACATCCTTTCTTTTAGAATGAGCAATTTTTTTTTTTCTTTCCCTACCTTTGTCTCATTAGTGGAATATTAATGCAGTTAGCAGCAGCAACAGCAGCAAAAGGAACAAACCGTCCTATAAGAGGTGAGACATGCTGTGAAAAGCAGAAAAAGAAGAATTACATAATTATTTTTTCTGAAGGTCACATCAAAATGCTTCACTCGTTAATGACAGATAAGATTTCCTTTAAATTAAAATTCAGTGAAAAAATCCCTGGTAAGGCAGAGGCAAAAGAGACACAAGCAAGACTTAAGTCATGGAGACAGGCAAAAACCACCTGAATTCAGTTGCATCATTGCAGACAAATGCCAGCTTCTGAGCACGCCTGTCAGCTTGATGGCAACACTAAACAGACATTAACTTCACTATCTTCAACAGCAAGGTTACAGCCAGCAGCATTTCTAACAGCTCTGCATCTAAGGACACTCACTGCATGAAGCCATGTATCTAGTCAACCTCTCCTATGATCTGAGTTACTCTGCCTAGAACAGCATCTCTCAAATAAGGTGTCAATGCTGCACCATGCCCAATATATCAAAGCATAAACTGAGGGATATAAAATAGTTTTTTATATAGCTTTTACAACATGCTGCATATTTGTTTGAAGAATTTGAGTTTTCCATATTTAAGAGAAGCAGGTCTTTACACATTCTTCAGCCAGTCCAGCATAGACTTCCATGTTTCCAGAAGTAATGCTGTACATTAAAAACCAGGCAAGCTGCATGACTGTGTATCAGGTCTGTGTCACTGTAATTACATCCACTGCAATTAACTTTCAATTGCTGCTAGATACTTTGAAACCTTAAAAGAAATGGCAAAAAGGCACCTTCATGGGATACATATTGTGAATGAAAACAGCAAGGATAGGGCATTAAAAACAAATATATATATATAAAATCATCTATATGGGGCAAAAGTAAGATTGGGAAATCAAGAAGGGAGCTGCCAAGGGTAATTACAACTCCATGAGGGAGCTGTGCACAGCATGACAGAGCCAGAGGAGGGGAAGTGAGCCATTTCATAGAACACCAAAATCTGAATAAGAATGGGAGGAGTATCAGCAATACCTTTGTTAGTGCATTAAGTCCTAAAGCTGTCGCAACAGCACCTGTGGTAGCAGAAACATAGGCTGTTCCCAGCTGGCTAAAACAAAAATAACAATGTTTGTACATGCATCACAATTATATCCATGCCACTTCCAAAAACAAACAACTTTCACACATGCAGTAAGTTCCTTCCACCTACAGAAGTTAAAGCATATCTTGTTGCAGCAACACAGAAAGGGTTAAGGATGGAACGGTCAAATGAAACCACAGATTAACCCTTTTTCTTCCACTATCAGTAAAAAACAACAAGCAAGCGACATTTTAACTGTGAACCAGGCTCCAGTGATTCTGCACTCATGTATGGCATTTTCTCTTATGTCTGAACGAGCACTTTGAAGGATTTCTAAGGTCAAACCCACAATAGCATTTGAAATCAAAAGTATCAAAACCCATCTGTGTAGACCAGCTATGCTGCAAACACCCAAATCCAACCCAACCAGCCAGTCTATATGTCCTCTAATCCACTGCCTTCTGCCAGACATCTACAAGAAAGAGAGCCTCAGAACTGATTAAGACCCTAGATTTTATCTTTAAGGGCAAAAAAGAAGGTCACGTTCATCACTCTCAGGCTCCTTGACTATACATACTGTAATACTATAATGGGGTGATAATAGCAGGGTGACAAAGTCTTCAGCTACAGCAAGTGAAAACAAGCCCAAACACAGCAGCCACAGATGCAGAAATGAAGGAAAAGAGCTGCTTACCTTTGGAAGACCTCAGGTAGGCAGGGATCTCCAGCAAGAGATGCCCTCACCTCCACTGCCAACCCTTAAATGAGGTCTGGGAAAGGGTGGATCCTGGCTCCATCCCTTCCGGTCACTCAGCTGCATTGCATGCACCTGAGCTCCCCTGGGTTGGCCCTGCCTTCCCACCAGGTGCTCAATCACTGCTTCAGGCCATGACTGAGCATTTCCACTACACAATACCAAACTGATGATAAATGCAGATGAACAAACTTATCTACCATCTCAAAGACCAATCATACTCCAGTCTACGAGAGAGAACCTGTGAACATATCAGAAGCATCCGTACAGTGTCTGACCTGACAGTAATTGGGGCATCACCGCTCCTGTTTGTGTAATTTACTATAGCATTGAAGGACTGGTTAATCCACTGCCAGAAAACCACTGCTGGTGTCGTTCTTGAAAAAAGAAACAACTATTAATATTGTTAAAAACAGAGTTGAGTCAACAGCAGAAAAGCGTTGGCAAATCAAGAAAAGCCTCTGCAAGCAGTAATCATACAGTTCTTGGATACCTGAATAAAGCAGTTCAGCCAAGGAGATACTGTCTTAATAATGGAAGTGCAAGCTACTTCTAAGAATCGGTTTTAAAAGGCATTGGAAATGAATAACAGTTCACCTGGGACAAAGGTTTATAATAACAGCAAAAGCATTGTAGCAAACCTCTCTACAAAAACATACAGAGGAAAAGAATGGAACTCTACAAGATCTAGAGTACTTTTCCAGAGTTAGTGCTCTGCAGCTCACTCACTTCCTTTGGAAACTCCGTAAGTGACTGAGAAATGGATTTTAGAGGCAGGGTTTGCAGGGTTTACTTTCTCAGTCTTCAAAAAGTTACTGTGCCCCTAATTGTTCTAATAAATCTCTGAGACATTATAAGAAGGAAAAGTGGGATATATGGATTAGGTGAAGCATCCAAGGGCATATATCACAGCTGCTTCCAGAGGAAACCAATAATCAGTGAGGGTATGAGGGAACACAGAGAGAAAAGAGAAAAGGAAGTAAAATTTTATATTTTAGAATATTCATTATACATCTTCTGAAACGCTCTTTTGACAATAACACTGACCTTCACTTATCTAATTTGTAGGGAAATGTTTCATGTGTTACACTGCCACTACTTACCTATAAAAGGTCATCATACAACCTGTGATAGTCATGTTCATGGGTACCTGAGCTGACATTCGCCCAATCAAGACCATCTTTTCACCAGTGTCTGGATGAAAGGCTGAATCATAGATATACTTTGCTCTCCACAGTTCATTTTCAGTCAATCCAGGTGCTACAATACCTTGTCTTGGAACAAATTGAAACCAACAAAACAAGACAACAGCAAAAAGCACAGCTGTTATAAACATAAAATGCTGCAACTTCCAGTGAAAAAACTTAGCATCAGAGGAAGCTAATTTAATCTAGCCTTACAGTCAGCTTGTATTCAACTATTAAATAAATTGGTGAAACAAGAAGAATTAAAACTCCCAGCAGTGGTTGTGTAGGCTGAGTTGACAACCAGCATCAAAGTTCTGTTGACTCAAGCCAGTACTGGAGCTGAGCTGGAATGGACAGCTAAAAGCACTAAGCATGAAACTTTGGAAATTTAGCTTGATTTACTAATTGATTTACTGCCCCAAAAATACATTTGAAAGCCTATTTTAAACTGTTGTTCTATTGACTATTTTCAGAACTAGACACTCCCACATTTTCAAATGCTAAATAGTTTTTCTCAGATGACAATTCTCCCATTCATTAGTAATCTGACAGCGTTTCAAGCTCTGAAACAAGACAGAAGAGTGGTGCAATAAATACAGGGTCTTAAACATTTCCTTTTAAACCTACAAGGGTGATATTCTTATCACTGTCATTACTTTTTGGGCCAGCACTAAAAGTGGCTGTCATACCTGTAATCATGCACGATTTTTCTTGCGCTTTCCAGCTGGGCATCAGATAACAAAATATTCCGGGGGTCTGTTACAGTGAAGAAGTGACTGGCTCGCCCAATGAAAGTGCTTTGATCCCATCGGGGCTCCTTGATATTAATATTTAACGGTAGATCTGCTGACATCTTCAAAAACTCTGTGAAGAAAACATGAATGTTTGCAATTCAGAATTCTTATTTCTTAACATGTCTCAAACTGATAAAACCCCACAGTGAAAAACAGCTTTAGTTGCAGCAAAAAAAAAAAAAAAAAAAAGAGAGACATCTTGCAGAACTGAGCTTTAAAGGAGTACAGAAAGTAGATGATGTCAGGCATCATCATAGTTTTTATGAGATCAGTATTCATACAAGAAAATAAACTAACTTAAAGAATTTAAACATCTGCATTTTTGGGCTTGCTTCCCAAAACATTCATACATTTCATACCTTCCTGTAAGAGTATGATTATCTGAGGATGAGTAGAATGCAAAGTACAGCAGCTCACTAAGAAGTAGATGTACTAATTAACAAGATATTAAACAGAAATTTGCTTTACTCGAGTGATGAATTAGTGTTAGCTGAACACGTTGTCATAAAGGGAAATTAAACTTTTCAAGAGATGCCTGAAGCAGCAGCACAGCAGCATTTACCAACATGCACTTAACACCTCTGGCATTGCAAAGCAAAAAAAAATTAGGATTACAAACATCAAATATTTTCAGTAAATGCTGTTTCTCCAAATCCATGTTCTTAGAATCAAAGATTACATAATGCAACAATTTGCCACATTATGAACACATGAGCAGTTCTTCTAATGACACATCAAGGATGGTAACAGATCCACAGTGACAGGCACCAAACTAACACAGCTCTGCATTTAGAGGGCTTGAAGCCCAGAAAATTAAGAATTTACTTCAAAATGACTCTGACAACTGATCTTTACCTCCAACCAACAAACCTAAGGAACGCTGTAAGGCTCCTGAGGAATTGGTGTAAATTTGGTGAAACTTGTATGGTGGAGAATGTAAAAAGGAATTATCAGAAGAAAGGAACTAAGGATGCAGAGCATCTTCAGCATAAAAATAAAATAAAATAAAATAAAAACAGGGAAAAAAGGAGAGAATATTCGTGAAACTTGAAGAAGTTGTCCATCCCTCAAATGTAACTATGATCCCTCTTCTTCTGCATTAAGTGGAAAAATCTGTTAGTCACAGGAGAAGAGAATTCTACAGAAATAAAGGCCTAAATGCCTGTTCTGCTGCATGCCACACGCCTATTATGTAAAGCACTGGGTTTTCCAATATCATTGGATCACAGAATTGCTTGAGTTGGAAGGGCCCCCAAGGACCATCAAGTTCCAACCCCCCTGCCATAGGCAGGGCCACAAACCTCCAGATCTGGCACTAGACCAGGCAGCCCAGGGCCCCATCCAGCCTCCAGAATAGAGACACTGCATGACAAAAAACAAGCAAACCAGACCATCTTCTGGACTAAAATGGTGACAGCTGCAAAGGGCAGGGAAATCATTCTGAGAGTACTTCCCTATCACCTAAGTATTTGCAGGGCAGTCTGTTTCAATATCCTTATAATTAAGTTATCAGTTTCATTAGGAAGGATTAAACCCACTTAGGACAGCTTATGTCAATCTGTTTAAAACTGTCCAACAAATGCTTAAAAAAGCACTCCATAAAAAGAAGGTCCTTGCTTTCCTTTCACACTGATCAGCAAGTGCTGAAAACTGCTTTGTATATATTACTGCGTTGTCTGTGATTTGTTTTTATTGCATACCAAACTTGTGCCATGAACCCAAATCTAAACAACAAAGATTAATTCAGTATAATTTCACTCCAAGTCACTCAGCCTGCCCTGATGGAGGTACATCTCCAGAGAACAGAGAAGGGAACCACAGCCGTGTCCTATCCTTACCCCCAGTTAAACTGACATGAGCACGTCTGACCTTGCTACCAACACACCATCCTCCTGCGTGGGCATATCCCAAGGAAAAAGATACTTTCACACGGCTGCATGGCAAGGGTTAGCATGGCAGCAGCAAAAAGGAAAACACTTTGACAAAGGATCCTTGGCATGTGCCACAGCAAAAGTTTATGCTTGAAATCACTGTGTCTGTTTAAAAAGACGACAACAGGAACAAAAAACACTGACTTTGATAGGACTGGTCTTGACAAAGGTAAGGCAGAGCACATGGACTCCAGTCTCACTGGCATTCACCCAGAAAAAGATTTGCTCTTGTGCAAAAAGAGATCAAAGCCTCGGGTGCCTACCATTCAGGAACACAACATTTTCTTCTCAATCACGTGACTCACACAACTGACTTGCACTTTAATACTATCAGTAGGCACAATGCTTTTCTAAGTGAGTTTCAAGTCATAAAGACTCTGTGCATGGACAGACCACAGTGCACACACAAAGGAGTGGATGCTGTCCAAGCAAGGAAGCATAACGAGTTCCAGACACTGGAAAAATACAGTTTGGTGACACACAAAACTTGCATTGAAGTAGAAAGGTTGCAGGGTTTGTTGGTCTTGGGACTCTGAGTCACTGCTCTGCTAGAGTGCTCCTTGTCTAGGAGAGCCAGGGAAGATCTGCATTGGAAACGTACACCAACAAAATGTTTTTAGAATACCATCACTTGTGGCAAATAGTCCTCACTGTAAGTTAAGCATGTCCAAGATTTAAGCTCAAATTACCCAAATATTCATAATAAAATTGTGATAAGTAGTAGTAGAGGGCTCTGAGGTTAAATCAAATTAAAATAAACCCAAGTGAACCACGAGATAAGTGACAAGTTTGTGGAAGGGGAAAGTAAATGCACAAATCTTCCAGAATGAAAGTGAAAAGGTTTACTTTGTTTTACATACACTATTGAGTGCCAGGGGGCTGCTGCAGGCCACCTCTTTTTTGGTTGACTAATAACTTGAATTTATTGTTCCCACACCTATCTCTATTTGGTAAGTGGTGACAGGAGAGAACACCTGCAAAATAGGAAAACTGAATTAGCAGCACCTGAGATTTTAAGGTGGAAAGGTAAACACCACAATCACCCAATCTGGTCTGAATGCCCCTCTTCCTCAAGCAACTCCATTAGCAGAGAATTTGAGAGATGGCATTAATTAAATTGCTGAAATAATTCACACTTAAACAGGACCGTGGGGTCACATTCACAACACAGAAGGATCAGCACCACATGAGCGGATAAATGACACGGATGACAACATAGCACAGTGAAGCACAATATCATGGAAAACGCACAGTAAGAAATAACATCTCTGCTGTTTCAAACGACTAAATGGGGAATATTGAACAGAATCAGATATACTTGCAAACCTCAATGTTAGCAGCACCTCATACTAGCAAATTAATCCAATAATAAAGCACCAAGAGTCCTCTGGCACATTCATGCTACTGCATTCCCCATTTCCCAGTGCCACGGAGAACGGCTGCACCGTCGGATTGTTGCAGCTGCTGTGGGCAGAGCTGTGCTCCTGCAGTCTGGCACTGCAGCTCCCCAGCACCAACACAGCGACCATCCATGTTTCACAGTGCAGCCATTTGTGCATATCAAGGCACCTTTTCAGAATGCTAACTCCAATCACGTGCTTCATCAGCTTCCCACATGGGAATGGCTGTGGCTTGCTGGAACATGCTGCCAGGAGTTCAGCTGCAGGACCAGCAAGATGATTACAGACTCTTTTGATTACAAACTCATCAAAATATTGAAGCTTTATTTATTCACAGCCAAAAATAAGGCTTTCCTTCATCTGCAGAGAAATTTTCAACTCTGTATTCTGAATAACCCTCTACAAACATCTTTCTTTGAAATTGAATCGCTTCTTGACCGTGTCTTTCAACTCCTCTTTCCAATCAGAAAGTGACCTTGAACAGAATGCCCCAGTGCTAAGCACACCTAAACCTGCTGTCCTTTGATAAGATGAAACTGCCTGCAAGTTCCCACTGTAAACTGACATTAATGGGAAGGAAAGAGGGCTTGGAACGAAGTGAGATTGGCCTCTCTTAAAAAATAATTACATAAAACCCACAAAAGCTTGATCAACAATTTTAGTACAAAGGCTGCATTTAGATTTGCTGCAGAATCAGCAGGAATAGCAGGAGACTTTAAACCTTGTTTAAAAGGTCAACAGTAGCAGTTGCAACAATTCTTAAAAATGCCGATTCAGGAGTTGTCAGTTCCACTCTGCAGTGTTCTATTTCCAAACTGCATTTCAGACAGCACACGGACTGCCATAGATCGCTTCTCACACTGCAGCAACAGCCAGAAGAGTAGCAAGGCCCATCCGAGACAGTTTGGAGCAACCCAGACATCTGAGTGCTCATTTTGACATGGATGAAAAGAAACGTGGTTGAAAGCAAAAGATGAGGTTTTATAAAATGTGAACCCTATTTGTGACTAGCAGTGCACTTGAAGGACTCATAAACTAAGGGGTGAATTCAAGCTGGGCGACCCACACTCAGGCAGCAGTGCTCGAATGAGGAAATTGGATTTGCTACTTTCCTTATGTTACTTATATCCTGTATTTTAACCCAAATCTTGAAAAAATCCATTCTGCAAGTAAAAGACCTCACCAGACACATCACTGATTTTTTCCAATATCCAACCTAAAGCTGAAAGTAGAGCTCTGAAAAAAGAAATTTCTTGATGACACAACTGAGTATCCTGATGTTTCTGAAAGCTGTAGTCACTGTTCTGAGTCAAGAAGCATCCCTAGCGTCAAAATATCCATTCCTTGAGTGATGCAGACAGCTTCTGCCACTGCTCAGAAGAGCAGGGAGGTGATTCTGACAATGGCTAAAAGATAAGAACTGCCTGCAATTGCTGAGAAGCGTTATATTGTCTGAGAATGTTTTGAGAGATACTAGCCTGAAAACTCACCCAGAAATAGGCTTTCCTGAACAGATACAAAGGCCTGGATTTTCTTGAGTGGGGATCCTTTGGCAAATGTTCTCAGTTTGAATAGGATACTGCTTCACTATACAGAATTTGCTGTTCCTTTTTGGTTTTATGGGGGCCAGAGTCCAGATTATCAGCTCCAGTAACTTCCTTTATTTTAGTGGACTCTGTAGATGAGAGTGGCCTTTCACCTCCCTTGCATGCAGACCCAGAAAGCAAGCAAACACCGAGCTGGGGAGGACAACAGCTGGCCAAGAGAATAGAAGGCTGTGTCTAAAGCGGTGCAGGTGTGATAATGAACATTGCAACATCTCACATCTCAGCTCCTCAGACCAAATCATTTATAACATTACTTATACGTCATTGGACACGTGATACTCACAGAACTCAAAGTAGCCTTTGTAGAAGAAGGGAATAAACTAGCCAACACAAATGCTGAATGAAAGATGGAACTTTCATGGTACCCTTTACCAGGACTTACTTAGATCCCTCACTTCAGGCATTTGGGTCAGATCATGATTCACAAAATCTGCTAGGAGCTAAGTGTTCTTTTTTCAGAAAAAGGAGAACAAAATCACTTTTCTTTCCCTCTCTGAAAACCGATTAAAAACAGAAGGTGTCAGCAGTACCCACGTATCAGAATCCTATTACAGAATAGCTCTAAAGTTGGAGCCACGCGCTGCTGAAATCATTTGAGGTGCAGATTCATGGGGAGAGAGAAAGAGAGAGAGACAAGGTGCGACACTTTTAGGCTCCTCGATCTCCGTCCTTCAAAGCACTCCCCCAGCAGCTGGCTGTGAAAATGTCCTGTTCTGGGAAACAAGAGATGTAGGCTGGAAAAAGCCTTAGGCTCAGAAAAGAACCAACTGCTACAAAATGGGGAGGGGAACAGCTCTCTTCTTCCTCTGCCTCATTTATAAATCAAAGCAACCACGGCCACTCGCTTGTTACTGCAGAGCTCAGTTCTCCTGAAGCACCTCTCATGGTGCTTTGATAGAAACTACAGAAAGATTCTGTTAGGCACTTTTATTCCTCCAATAACATACTGGCCCTTTTTAGGCCTTCTTTGCCCAAACAAACCCAGTATTTTTGTTTTCCATGAGGAACGCCATGAGAACAGTGGCTAGTTGGTTTAGGAGAAAAAAGAAAAACAGGAAACATACTTCCTCCTGATCAGTAAAAGGTGACCCATTCTACTTTAAAATTACAATACTCTGGTAAAGCAACAGCAAAACAGCAAAAATGCAAACCCAGCTATACTCATATTTCAATTGTTCTGGCAAAGGAAAGAACACAATGAATGCATTCTCCAGGGATGTCAATCAAGCCAGGACAGTTGGAAAGCACTTCTATGTGATGGCAAAACAGCAGCTCTCAGACTTAGCAGGATCATTAAGCAGTGGTATTCCTCTATTTGCACTGTGCTTGCTATCGCAGTTTGACAGAAGCACCACTGAGAGAAGTATGATGCAACATGCACCAAATGCTAACAAACACACTTGCAAAGCGTTCCTTCCCCCAAAGCCTTTCCATCCAGTAAATACCTATTTAGACTACAAAAAATAATTAAAAAAAAAATATATCTTTACACTACGCTTCTTCCTTCTGCAATCACAAGAACAGATTGAGCGCTGGAGAAGGCAAATCGTGGCAACACTGCAAGACACTTTTTTGCTTATAAATGTACATCCTGTTTGTAGCCTAGCAACAGACGCAGCAGTCTGCGTTAAAAGGGTAGTGCCTGCTGCCGGGGCTCTCCTCAAAACAGCAGCCATCTTTGGCGTGTCACTTGGTGGGAGATTTCATCATTCTGTATTGAAGCCGTTTCCAGATGCCCGAGCTGCAGCAGCGCGTGCCTGCAATCTGCCATCTCCGCTCACACCGCGGGATGGATACCGCAGCGATGTGTCACACACCGACCCCTCCTCGTCATTAAGAGAGAAAAAGCTAAGAAGGGTTAACTCAAGGTCTAGTTTTGTGTCATTGCTGATTGCCGCGAGCTTGTCTCTACAGCCCTACGGTAAGCTGAGGAAGGATTATCAGGCCGTATCCAGACACGTTCATGACCTTCTGCCATAGTTTTTGTTGCTACTGGATATGTATATTTCCGATAGGAACGGCACAGCCAATTTTAAACTGCTACAAAACCAGCCGTCGCTCCCTCCTGCTTCATCATTATAGCAACAAAATAAACACTCCTACTGAGAACCCCCGGCTCCCAGCCCTGTGACACGGCACCCGGCTCTGCGGGCAGCTCGGGGGTGCTGAGAAGGCGTGGAACCCGAGGATCCTCTTTGAGGAAACAGGGGCGAACTCAGGCTTGGGATCCTCCCCGAGGAGGACGGGGGTGGCAGAGCGGGCAGGGCGACAACCTCCACCCGCGGCCCGGCCCCGCGCCCCGCACTGCCGCTACTCACTGCGCCCCGCGCGCTGCCGGCTCCGCGCCGCCCCGCCGCCCGGAAGAGACTCGCGTTGCGCGGGGCCGGCTTGAAGAGCGGCCGCCCCGCTCCGCTCCGCCCCGCTCCGCCCAGCGAGTCCGGGCGGAGAGCCGGGGGTCGGCCGGCTAAGCAGTCATCTTGGGCAGTGAAACAAGGTGTAGGGCTTTATACAGCTTTGTACTGGAGACCAAGTGTAGTAGGAGGGCTGCAGGGATGCTCTTTGCCTTTGTGGGGAGAACGTGCGCGCAGGCTGAAGGGAAGGTTTGGCAGCCTGCAGCTCCTCGTGGCACCTCACGTGGAGCGGAGGGCGGCGTCGAGCTCTGCTCTCTATGGCAGCGACGGGGCTGGAGGAAACGGCGTGGAGCTGCGTCCGGGCAGGGCAGGTGGGGGTGAGGGGAAGGTCCTGCACCGGAGGGCGGTGGGCACGGAACGGGCTGCTAGGACAGCGGGCACGGCTCTGAGCTGCTGGAGATCAGGGAGTGTTTGGACAGTGCCCTCAGACGCAGGGTTTGGATTTTGAGTGGTCCTGTGTATGGACAGGGGTTGCATTCGATGATCCTTGTGGGTCCCTTCCATCTTGGGATGTTCTGTGATTTTGGGTTATTTGAGGCATTAAGGTGTCCGGTTTGCGCAGCTCCCTGATGGGACAGGTCTGCCCTGCTCTGCTGGCAGCTCGTGGCAGAATGTGGCTTCGAGTTCTTCAGGCGGCTCAGGCTGTGAAATTACTTTCATAATTAACGGAATAAAAGCTTTTATTTCTTCTTGAAATATTATTGGCCACTTCTCTAGCAAGATGGCAGTACTTGGTTGGTGAACAAATTGGATCATCAGTCAGTTTAATAGGAACAACTTCAGAGGCAAAAGAACCATTGGCCTGAAGGCAACCTTGACAACAAAGATGGATGTTTATGGACTTTCTCATTTTCGTTACTCCAGCTTTAATAAGTATTGCAGAAAACAGCCAGCAGCAGGGAAATGCTCATAGGAAACCACAGTAACTGAACCCTTAGAAAAATAATTCACCCTCAGATCCTAATCCTAAAAAATAAAAATAGGGAAAAAAAAAGAAAAAAGAAAAAAGAAACTGTATTACTATGAAATTTCTTCCAGCTGATGAAAACTTTCTTGCATGTGGTGCCTTAAAAATGTCAAATGAATGTGGATTTAAATAAATAAAAGGCTGAGGAATGGATCACAGAGTGTCTCATTCTTTTTGGTTATTATGGTCACTCCTCGTTTTCTCTTTGTACCATCTGATAGCTTCTCTGATGGTTATGAGATGTGCCGTCATTTGAGATTAAAAAAAAAAGGCTAGGGATACTCAATTAGGCTGTTTCCATTCCTTCTACATCCCAGCTCCTAGATGAACACGGTGATAGATGCACAAAATGGATTGCTAGCTCATTTCACAAATCAATTAAAGCTCATTAGAGTCTCAGTTTGATAGTGTTATGATAATTTGATAAGTCAGCAACATGTGAGCTGGTGTCATCCCCTATCTCACATTGAGTCTTTTGGGAATGGGAAAAGCGTGCAGCGATGGAGCTGTGTTACATCCCATGAATATTCTGCAAACTGTGCTAGGTTACCTTGTTGGTGTGCCAGAATAGCTCACCAACACGCAGAGGCCAAAAAACAGACACTCCACGCTCACAGACTCTTTGAAGTAAAATAAGACAGGCTGGAAGAGGCTGTGGTGGCTCCCAGCCAGCTCTGCCTTAGAGGACTGGGAGGGGAGGACCCCACGATGTGGGATGCAGCATATTGATCTGCAGCTGGGTAACACAGCTTTGTTCTTCTGAAGTCTTCGTTCCCTCCCAAAACCCTCACACAGTCATATAGACTAAATCCACGTAATTTGGTCAGTAAACTCAAGTATGTGTCTTCTTACATGTTTTCATATGGACTGGGGTTAAATTACAGGGTAAGTATTAATGGTACTTAAGGGAGCATATCTCTGGAGACTGAAATGGATGCATGAAGTCAGTGCTACCTTAGTTCCTGCTGAAGTGTTCCTTTCAGTCGTCTTATTTCCAGAAGACTCCTGCAAACCTTCAGGTGTACCTCAGTCCTTTGTCTTTGTTGAACTACGTATGAATTTAACCCTCTTTGTGTTTCACCTGAAAGAATTTCTAGACTGCTGCAGAGCAAACCTTTCCCTATGCAAATTAGAGCAGGAACTCTTCTGTTTTTGTATAGCTGCTGCCTCATCTAAGAAATGAGCTTTACTGTATTCACTCTCTTCAAGCTTCACCGCATTCATAATATTTACATTGCACACTAATAATTTTATGTATTTTGCCATTTCAAATTGGCGCTGGGAATCAAATGACAAAAACAGAGCTGCTGTGCACTGCAGTTATTAACACAGATATCCAGTAAGTGGCACTGCAGGACTAGGTTTTCTGCAGCCCTGTATCACAAACAGCAAGCATGGAACGTATCAAGATATTTCTACTCCGTGAGAAAGGCAGTTGTACAGCGGGTGGGAAAGGATGTGTGATGACGGCTCTGAAGGTGCAGAGCAAGGAGCTGGAGTGTGTTCAGCAGCTGGCTCTTGGGATGGTGTTAGGAACCGGCCTTGGCACCAAGCTGACTGTTATCAGAGGTTTGCCAGAAGAACCCAGCCACATTTCTGGGAACTGTTTTTAGCACTCACTTGATGGGAGGTGCGTGTGAAAGCGTTGTGCTGTGTTTTACTATCAGGAGCACAATATGGGACTGGGTGAACCATATATATAAAGCATTTCTTCTGCTCTGCTGACTTACTGTGCATTAATGTTATGCAGGAAATCCAAACCCCAGACTGGAAGGCATGTCAGTACAGTCTCCTAAATTCAAAGTCTTTCTGAACTAGAGATTTCTGTGAGTCCATGTCAGTATATCAAAAACCTCCACCCTATTTTCCAACAGTCTCAGCTGCCAAAGAATAAACTATTAACCAGGGAAAAATGGTCCAACAGATGAGCAACACAACACTTTTTGATAACATAAATTGTAATAAGCCCTTATATAAACTCTAGTGGAGAATTACTTGCAAAGTCAGTTGAAGATTTTGGCTCCGTTTATGGTATCTGAACCTAACTTCAGCTTACTCATGCTATATTGTGCCAAGCTAAATTGATGCATACCAAATTTTCCCCTTTATCTAGATGAAAACACGCACAGTTATGGCAAGCAAGAGGAAGAACATGAAAAGCCATCCTGCATTTAGAAGGGGCACAGCACTACCTTTAAAGGGATAAAGCAGAATTTCAGGAGGACTAGAGGCCATTTCCTCTGTGATGTGGTTATTCCAAAAATGTCTCCCTTGGAATTGTCCACAGCCTGGAGCACTGCTGGCAGCAAGGCTCTCAGCCAGGCAGGCTGATGGATGGAGTATGGAGCAAGAGGAGGTGCGGGTCCCTCCTGCTTTAGCACCATCCCATGGGATGTCCCAGCTGCTTCAGCTGTGCTGGACAAGATTTTTGATCATCCTTTAAGGACCAGGTATGCAGCAGCATCAGCTGACAAGCACAGGAGCATGCCAGAACATGGAGAGGCATGCAGAAATGTGAGTGAAGAACAACGTGACAACACAACATGGGGCAAAATAAGACAGCACCAGACAACTCTGAATAGCATGCCATATTCTATTGCAGATCATTGGATCATTATGGTTAGAAAAGACCTCTGGGATCATCCAGGATATCCCCAGCACTCCCCACCATGCCCACTGACCATGTCCCTCACTGCCACATCTATTTCTTGAACACCTCCAGGGATGGTGACTCCCCACCTCCCTCAGCAGCCTGTGCCAATACCTGATCACTCTGAGAAGAAGTTTTTCCTAAGATCCAGCCTGATAGCATGCAACAGCATTAACAGCATGGATCAACATCTCACAGCATGATAAATGTACCTAGAAAGCTGGTAGAAATACCGAGAGAGCAGTGAGAAATTCCTAGCAGCAGGAAAATTCTTGGGAACATATAGAAAGTGTCAAGAGAACCATAGGAAACTCCTAGAAAGATTTTGGGAATTCCTAGAAAATTATAGGAAACTCTTGAAAAACAAATTTCATTCCTAGAAAGCACTGGGGAGAATCCTAGGAAGCAAAAAGTGAATTCCTAGAAAGTTGGCTACAAATTTTTGGAAAACTAAGAGGGCAATTTCTAAAAGGGAAGGGTGAATTCCTAAAAAGTAGTAGAGGAGTCCTAGAAAGAAATGCACAATCCTTAGAAAGCCATGAGAAATTCCTAAAGAGCGGAGGAAAACTCCTGGAAAACAGGTTGGAATTACTAGAAATCGAGTACAGCTAATAGAAATCATTGGGATATTTCTAGAAAGGCATTAGGGAATGAGAATAGCTGTGCTGGTGCAGCCAAACCCTGATGTGTTCCAAGCTCAGAGCTGCTAAAACTCGCAGGGTTGGAGTGTGAGCAGCTCACTGGCTTTGAGGTCTGTTGTCGGCAACTGAGGTCCCTGATCTTGAAATGGATTTTGACAAATGGATGATAGGATGCAGGGAACATTTCCAGTCAGAGGAAGCACTGCTTGTTAAACACTGCTCTGGGAGCTGCTGTTACAGCAACTTCTTTCTTTGCAACACAGGGCAGGGAAAAGCCAAGGACACAGAGGCAGGCTGCAAAGAGCCAGATATTACTGAATTACTGAGATGAACCAGTTCTACTTGGTGCGACCAGACTGGCACAAGGGCTGGAACAGAAAAAGTATGCAGACAAGGTAGGGTGAAAATGAATTTGGGATTGTGTCATGGTTTGGGGTAATCCAGTCTGATCCCTGGGTGTATCAAAAGCTCTGGTCGAAACTGTGACAGGAGGAATGAAGAGACTAAAGCCAGAACCTTGGTTTGGATTCTTATTTTTCTACTGGCACCAGTCTGGACATTAGGACAAATTTATTCGTTGTGAGGACAGTAAAACACAGATCAAACACTGCCTCTGTGCCTATCAGTGCTAAGAGATATTTGGATAATGCTCTTCTAATAAGCTTTAACTTTTGGTTAGCCCTGAAAAGGTCAGGCAGTTGGACTGCATGTTCTTTCAAGGTCCCTTCCAACCATCCCATTCCATTCCATTCCATCCCATTCCATCCCATTCCATTCCATTCCATTCCATTCCATTCCATTCCATTCCATTCC